TTAGTTTCATTTAAAGCAGACAATGACTCTAAATATAAGCATAAGAGGGCTGAAAAGTATGGAGATCCACATCTTCTAGTGGAAGAATAAATATTATCCAAAGTTGATTTATCTGCTGGTGAGTTCTTGTCTCATGCTAAAAGCATGAACTGTTTCTCAGACAGCATGTTACCAAAAATTACTCCAAGGAGGAACTGCATTTAAGTATTGCTTTAGATTTTGCCAGATGTCAATGTCTTTCCATTGCACTGTAAATATTAAATAAAAGTAGATATCAAAATGGCCACATTGTTTCTTTTAGGTTTGGGGGAATTAATTGGATGTTAATTCTCTTCTAATAAATATATCAACAGATTTCTCTGCCTAGTTATTCTTCATTTTCCTGTTATTTTGTGGGCTTACATCTTTGTCTTTCTCCATATGCTTTTTTTCCTTCTTTTGCTGTCTGTGCCTCCAGCTTCCAAATCTGGTTCCTTTGCATTCTTAGCTGTATTATCCTACAACAGTAATTTTGTCACTCTTTCTCAACTCTTTCTTACCCATCTCAGTGTACCAAAATTCTCCAAATTTCCTTTTCCTTGTTTCAGAGCATTTTCCCGTTCTTTTCCTACTGGGCTGAAGCAGATGCCTATGAGTTAGTCTTCTGGGGTCCTACCAAAACTCTTAGAGTTGACCTGGCAAAGCATCTGGTTCTGTTTAAGTAGAAAGAAGCTCCTCTCTGTGCATATGTGCCTATTTTTTCCCACCATGGCCTTTCACAGCAAATGACTCTCAAGAAATGTTCCTTTCCCATGGTTTGGAGGAGAGTCATTTTGCTCTCCCCGTAGGTGATGTTGTGGTTGTGAAGATACCTGCAGATGCTTATCTCTTGGTCTTCTGTTAAACGTGATGATTGCCTTCTTTGACTACTTCGAGGCAGCAGAAGGTAAGCACTGCCAGCAGTTTAGGAGGAAGCACAGAGACACTACTAAAATCAGAGAAATGTTAGAAAGATAATGAGAGATTTTGGATGGACCTAGATACCATTTCTTTATCAATGCTTAAAATTCACAAAACAGAATACAACATTTTTTAAAGGAACTTTTCCATTTTTCAACAACTTGCTAGAGAGCTATCTTCACATTAACCATAAGCAGCATGTCTTCACAAAGATCCATACTGAATTGCTCCCTGTGCAGAAATTGAAAAAGCACCCAGAACAACAAACTCCCCCCAAAGGTACAAGAGAAAATGAGACCCGTAAACTGATCAGGAGCCAGGAAGAGGGGGCTTCGAACGCTCCTGGAGCAGAAGGGAGTTACTACACTGCGTGACTGATGTGGCACAGGACATCTGCAGCTGTTTTGTTTCACATGTAATCCCTTCCCTTCAGCTCTTCTCTTATCTGTCAGTCTTCTCCCTCTCTTCATGATGGTCTCACATCCCTGGCTTGTCTCTTTCCTGCTCTTGCACCCCTACGTTCCACAAGCTACCCCTTAACCCTTCTTTCCTGCTGGCATTTGCAATTCTCATTTATTTAAACATTGGTTCTTTATGGATGTATTCTTTTTCGCCTGAGATTACAGTTCCTCTAGATAAAATTTTAAAAAGCTCATTTTGATTGGTCGTGTCAAGCTTTCTGGACATGTGTGTGTGTGCGCGCGCGTGTGAGACAACAGCAGCTGCATCACCTGTATTCAGGGATTACTTGCTCTCTCCTCAAGCTATCTGGCTCATGTAAAACTGGTAGGTAGGAACACCTTCTGGCATAATTCCAGTATAGTCTGTTTGTACGTTAAGCTTGATCCTACCTAGAGAGTTAAGCTCACGTTGTGATTGCTGCTTTGGTTCTGCTCTTCCCAAAGGAGGAGTGAGTGTGTCAATCCTGACTGATGTTGGCTGAAGCATGGTCAGAGCTGAGGTTTGAGGCACAGGTCTGCAGAGCAGAAAGTTGTTATTATAGCTGACTGGAAGGTTTTTTTAAGGAGCTGCATCTTGGGAACCTGTTGTACAGACGATTACAAATGTAGATGACTTGCCAACTTAATAGGCCATTACTGGATTCTTGGGCACTTAGAAAAGTGTGCATTTAAATTATTACACCTCAAGAAGACATTAAAAATTAAGGATCTATATGATTTGGTAAACACATATATTGATTTGAAAAAATTTTGTGTATTGCTGTGTTATAAAACAGGAAGAAATTTATCTGTGTTGTGTAAATAATAAAGTTACAGTTACCATAGACTGTTTTTTAGATTCTTTCAAAGCAAGTGATACTGTAATGTAAAATAAACCTAGAAAGACTATTCTACTAATTGTAACTCTTTAATTCATGCAGTACATACCTGTTCAATTTAAGAAGCAAAATGTACTTTTATGTATGTAGTTCCTCATAGCTTTACTGTTGATATAAAAGCTAGACTGAACACAAGAAACAAGTCCAATTAAGCAAAAATTCCTGAGAAAATTAGGATAAATTGACTACAAAAAGATGTTAAAACTGATCCCTGTAGTGTTAAAAGGCATACAAATGGAGGAAAAGTCATTTCTGGCTAAGAGATCAATGGAGATTTGTCACTGTCATGCAACATGATCGAACAGATGATTGAAGAACATGTCATAAGGCAAGAGAAACAAGCGTCATGCTTCCATTAGTATCTTTGCCTATGGAATTCAAGAAACATTATATTTTAAAGATTGATAGAGAATCATGGGATTTGAACTTCAAATAACTAATATGGTCTCATGATTTTAATCAAGTAAATTGAATAAAAAATACTGAAATATGGATTTGACTCCCTTCCCAGGCTTTGCCTAAATTTATTAATACTTCTTACGAGAAGAGGTGCTTGCTTGTAAAATGTTGTTAGCCTGTCAAAGAAAGGTGTTAAAGCAAAGCAAACCACGAACTCTGCAAGTTTTTCAAACATTTTATTATAAAGGATAGGAAAACAAATCCACTTTTTTTTATCAAACTCAGATAAATAAACAGTAAATATCATGCTCTTGGTTTTAAATGTATTTTGCCTTTTGCAGCAGGACCTGCAAAAATG